CCCAACAATGGGACTTTTAGGACCTAGCCCACGCGAGTTAGATTCCGCCTGACGTTAAATAGTAATAAATAAATAAATAAGTACTAGTACTAGATTATAAGAACGAGAGTACTTACATCTATTCTAAGTATACTTATAATAATTTATTAAACTTTATACTTCTTAAGTAGATTTAATCTTATCTAATTTTACTTTTAACTTAACTTAATATATATTATAATTATTATAAATATTTTCTCTACGATATTATATTATTACACGTAACCTAGTACCCCTATATAGGCGTTTATAGTCTAGCTAGCTACTATTAGAAGACGAGGGTATAATATAAGAATAGAGTAAGTATAGAAAGAGAAACTAGCTAGAGGGCGAGCAGGGCACTAATATATAGGCTGTCTGGCCAGCTAGAAATGTCCAAAATAGGACTAACGTCTTCCATATGATACACTATTGCCAGAAAGAGAAGCCAAGAGTGCTTGTGCTATAACAGCTACCTTCACTTCTCTAAGCAATTAGACACCGAACAGCTCACGTTATACATCCTCTACCTTCTGCCTGGAGATTTCGTCCCCCTCCCCCCACCTGTACCACAATAGCTGTACCCGTATGGTCCTATAACTTCAAGAGCACGATTTCGGACGATGTATAAAATCTGCGACTACTGTCTCGGCCGCCATCAGATTAATGAGTCTATGGTGAATACATGAGGATAGTTCGAGTCCTGTTGTAAACAGGGAGACAGGGAGACGTAGAACTTCCTTTAATTAAGAGACCTCCCCAGTTGTTATAGAATCTGTATATAGGTAACGGGCTCGAGAACCGGGGGCTTCAGAAGAATATTTGCACGTATAGTAATGCCCTTTTCGGTGTCTAATTGCTTAGAGAAGAGAAGGTCGCTACGGTAAGTAAGAGAGGCGGGCGTTACTCTGTACACACCGAGTTATAAAAATATTATCCTAAAGACCTCACACAACTAAATCAATTATACAAATAGTTTAGAACAATTGTTACTTTTCAATTTTCATTATGCTAGGTGAAATAGGACAATTAAGTTACTTGTGCCAGGCTTTGGACATAATAACTTTTGATAGCATGTACAGAGCAATGCCCGCCTCTCTTACTGTTTTGGACTTACCCTAGATACGAAACGTAGCGTCATTACTCTGTAATCTTACACCTTTCAAGAATCCATGGTAGTGAAAGTCCTGAGTCCTGGAACAACAATCAATAGAATTGCCGCTAATTACTGAAACTTGTGAGATTTGAATGGTGCTAATTCTCTCGTAAACCGGTTCATTGTGTGCGTCTTCCGGGAAAATGTTATTTCCGGCCACGTAAACATAGAACCCTGACCACATATCTTACCAAGTCCTGTTGATATTGACAGAGATACACGTATTATGATTCCCGTTATTCAATGAAACTAATTCTAACTCCCGATAGTTCTCTCCATATGAGTTTACTTCTCCCTCCTAGCCCGCTTTGTGTCAAAATCGCTAATTCCGTCTCATTTGTTTACTTCTGAATAGGGGCCAGAAGTCGATTACGGTATGCGAGGATAAACAAGGGTTTCAGGGAACATTTATTGCAATTGCCAATCATATTAAGATTCTTGATCTCAAGTGTTTTGCTATACTTTGAGAGACACCCGTAAGCAAATCTAAGTAGTATCTCCCAAATCTTTCACCTTTCAAAGTTGACATGCAATAGATATCACTTTACAGAAGCCAGGTCTTCACACAAATATCCATTCAGATATCCATGAAATTCCCTACAGTAAGCACATACCCAATCAAGAAACAAAAATACAACACAAAAATCCACACACGTTGCCACCTAACCAAAACATTTCATCCTCCCAAACGACAAAAACATACCCCTCTCACACCTCAACCTCATACTCTCCTGCTCCAACACCACAATCCTCGCATGGAGATTATCCAGTCTCTTCTGCGAAAAGCCATTCAGAGGACACATCCTCTCCATCGACGGCACAAACTCCTTAACCGCAGGATTCAGCCGCTTGCGCACCCCAATAACACTCTCCATCCGCATAGCGCTCTTGAGGCTGGCAATCTCATGTTGCTGCCACGAGTTATCCCGCTGGTATGCTGCAATACAATCCATCTGCAGCACTTCCTTTTGCGCGCGGTACGCCATGTCTAACCTGTCGGCGGACATCAGTTCTGCCCGCTTGGGGACATATTCTGCGGGGATAAACTCGGCACTTGTGGGGTTGAGTGTGCTCTTCCCTGCGCTGTCTTGGATGGGGCTGACTGTGGTCATGGTGGGTGGGGTTCCGCCATGGGAGGTATCTTCTCCGGATTCTCGAGGTGAGTCTTGAGACATGTTTAGTGTCTCGGTGTCTGGGGTGCTGGTGTTGGCTTCGGTGGAGTTATTTTTGGAACTTTCACCGTTTTTATGGCGCTCGGGGCTAAAAGTGCCTTTTAGAGAGCCATGACACTCCTCGTGAATCACCTGGAAGGGGTTGGTTGGAAGGTGAAGGGACGGGTGATGGGGTGGACTTACTTGGAGAGGAATTGCAGTGTTGGGAGGGTAACGGGATTTCGCAAGTTGCACTGGAAGGCTATTAATCCTGAGGGATAATGAGGTGAGCTGGTGGAGAACTTACTGGCAAGGAGAGTGGAACTCATTGTTACAGATATATTCGTGTGTATGGGCTCTGACTTTTGGATAAACTGTACAAGTATTCTGACTTTTGAAAGGTTGTACAGGTGTATAAGAAGTACAACTCAAAGTGAAAAGAAAAAGGAAAATCGTAACGTCGTGTATAAGAAGGTCGGGGACGGTATGCGATTTTGTGGTTCAGATGTTGAGATGGACTTTTGGATAGAAACTGGGAGAAATTCAAGAAGGGATGAGCAGTGGAAGAAGCACAGTTATATACTCTACAGAAGAAGCTACCTTGACTTAGAGCGTTCTGCTCTTGCTTCATCATTCACCTTCAGAGAATTTACTATTTTCTCATCATTACCCTTTAAATTTGAAGTGTTCCAACCAATATTTTGCTGGGAGGCGACGGACTCTCTTTAGTTTCATGCGGTCTGGCACCGTTCTTTATGATTTGTTTGACAGCCAACAAAATTTTCGAGCTTAGAAGAAACTGGAAGCCACTAAGAAGAAGAATTCTGATGTCATGTTCAAATACAGTATCAAAAAAGATTATTTGATGTCTATATGATCAAGTGTTTAGACTTGAAAAGACACTGCAGTGATCGACAATAAGATATGCGGTCATTGCTACATATAGAAGTCTGGTAGTATATTGTAACAGAACTACGAGTATTCTCCTATCAACAACTTGATTTCCCTTAGGCAACGAAAGTCATCAAGAGCTACAAAGCTCGCCTACCATAGAATGCCCACATGATTGAGACGATCGTGGAGTCTTATTATTTCGTTAGTCTTTATTATTTTCACGAAGGCCCCATCTAACTATTTGTTTCGTTGAATACTATTTTTCTACGTCTATAAGCTTAGGTGGGGTTTGAGCAGGAGCCGCTGAAGCGAGAGCTTTACTTAGAAGTTATCAAGTAGAGCAGGACTAAAATAAAATACTGACACTAAGGACCTATCAACAATAAGCGACGTTGAAATGAACTTACTGAAGATCATAAATGTTTGAGGGACTAACCTCTCTCTGAAGAATATGCAGAACCGAATTTCCATCGTTGCATTACTAAGTATCCAAAAATCGACATTGAACCCCTCATAAGCTATTCCAAAACCCAAGCAAGACCTCTCTATCTTTTCCAAAAAGATATGCAAGTGCGAAGCTTGTTTATCCTTGCTCCTTCCAAGCCTCATTTCTAATAGACTTATCACCCTAAGCCATCTTGTTTTGTATTCCACGCTAATTTCCGGCTCTTCACATTTCTTCATTCTCGTTGTTTTAGCTTTCTCGTTTTCAACTGGCGGTTTGACGGGTCTGGTCCGCCTTCAGATGGACTGGTGATTAGTCCCCCATTGACTTTTAGTCTGCGGTCCTTGTTCAATGACGCAATGTTCTTTTTTTTGCCTTGGTGCTGAAAAGGATAACCACCTACCTACCTTCTCACCGCGGACCACAAAAGTGGTAGGAGATACTACTTGTGTGATCATTTCACTCATCCAAGGCAATTTGAGTAAAGAACCTACATAATTGAGGTAATTATTCACCAGTTATCTTGGAAGGCTTGAGTATACTTGAGGATTTCAACCAATCTGGCACAACCAATTGCCAACCACCGAGAGGTATTTTGGAGAGTCAGAGCCGCAGTTTTTGTCTATCACCAGACCATGTACCAAGTACCTAGGTATAGTCGGTGAGGCAATAGAATGCACAACAAGACAACTGAATCAGCGAGGCTCACTCATACCGTCTGGTGCCGTGCCTGTCCTTGAATCAGTAAAACCTGGAATCTTCGAAAAAGATTCCGGAAATTCCCTGCCGGCCGGGATCTCCCTAAGCAGCCGCCGAATAGCCAATCATAAAAGCCAGATTCCTAATGCAAGGACCCACAAAACTGTATGAGCCACAGCAAAGTGGCTCGTGACGCAGAGCTAACAAGAATCTCCGTGTCATCTCTAGGACAAAAAGCACCGGCAGGCGATTCCAAAAATCTTTTTCTTCCCTTCTCCTTCCATCATACGATCTAATACAATCCTCACATCTCTACACCTCCACGTACCATAGCCTCCCGTCTCTTCCATACCTTTACGATCTTTACGACTCATCCTACTACCTTTCAATTCAAAATGCCTTTCAAAGACGGTACGTATTTGTCTGCCTATTCCTCTTATGCGCCTTGGGCAGCATGGCAAGTGGAAGTGTCGCCGCCCCACGACATTCATCTTGCCATTGAAGTACAACACCATATATTCTGCATACGGGAGTTGATGATGGGATGATGATTGAACTGGCGAACACGATGGGAAATCTTGCGACTCGATTCATCTCGAAGGGCGGATGAGGCAAATCTTGCCACCTAGTCCTTTGGAATGAATGACTCGGGATTTCCCAGAGACTACCACGAGTCTAAGAATCTTCGATAGGCAAGGACTTGATCACCGTCTTCGTCTTCTCGTGTGCGATCAGCCGCTTGGAAGCCTAGGAGCCGGTTCGTCTGCGTTTATCAACCGCTCGAATGCGCCACGGGCGCTAAAATTGCCTCAATATCAATGAAACTACCAAGAACATCTGCTAATCATCTACAATTTACAGGAGACTCCAAGAAGGGAGCCAATCTCTTCAAGACCCGTTGCGCACAATGCCACACCCTGGGAGAGGGCGAGGGAAACAAGATCGGTCCTAACCTACACGGTCTCTTCGGACGTACCTCCGGTACAGTCGACGGTTTCTCATACACCGACGCAAACAAGGCAAAGGGAGTCAAGTGGGAAAACGACACTCTGGTATGTTCCCCTTCACGTCTCGCTCTATCAAAACACTTTTAGAAAATATTTGTTAATGATGAAGTTCACAGTTCGACTACCTCGAGAACCCAAAGAAGTACATTCCAGGTACCAAGATGGCATTTGGTGGACTCAAGAAGGACAAGGACCGCAACGATTTGATCACGTATGCTACTTTCTCCCGTCTTCGCACAATCAATATACTAACATGTACACAGTTACCTCCGTGAATCCACGAAATAGACGATGTTCCCGACGGCGCAGATGGCAGTGTACTTATAGAAATGGAAAGGCATAGACGAAAGACCGGTCCGCGCACTGTATTGTACTTTTAGGTTTCTTAGATAGAAGGCGACAATGGTTGTTGGCGCACTCTCCTTTTTTTCTACATGGCTCCGGGCACTGCTTGATTGATTGAGTAGGGGTTGCCTGGGGTTGTGTGAAGGAAAAACGAAATTCAGATCTCCTCTTTACTGCTTTAGATGTACGGGTCAGGATAGGAGAAAATGATAATGTTTTGAGTTGGGGATGTTGGTATATATGGTTTCCCCCCTCCCTCTTATACTATTCTACGAGTACGTAGGCGGATTCAACGACTTATATTGCAGTCTCCCTAATAGCTATAACTCTTCCCTAGTCCCCTTTTCTCAAAATAGGAAATTATAAAAGTATTCTTAATCCATTCCTAAGCGTTCTTCATCTTTAGTATCTCTCATAGTAGTTTAGATCAGTCTCAGTATAAGATCCGAGGTACGAGGAATCAATCTCCATCGAGGCGAGATGATAACACTAGATGGGGTTTAGATGGAACTTTTCGATCCAAAGCTATAGTAAACTCAACCACCAATCCAATATCTTAGGGTATAGAAGACCAAAATGCCTGCTTGTCACTTGGCTATATCCACTGAAAGATCTTACTACCCACCTACCTGCCCTGCCCTACCTACCGTATGTGAAGATACAGGAACACCAGACTATAATCTCCGGGATTAGGTGATTCTTGCGCTGTGAAGTTGGGGTTCAAGAATGGAGTTTTTGTTTGTATTTGTTCTCGTTCCTGGAGGAGAGGGGGGAAGGTGTATTGGGAGGTTGTGAGTACCTAGGTATGGTAGGTTAGTGGTTAGTAGTTAATGATTGGTTTGCTAAGATAGATTGCTGGGTAGATGCGTGTTAAGGTGGGTGTGGATTTTGAAATAGGGAGTTATGGATTGAAGAGGTTGTTAAGGAGGAAGATAGAGAGGAAGAATGAAGGGGCTGAGTGGGTGTTTTTTGAGAGGGAGAGGAGGGAAGAGGAGATTCATTCAAAGCCAGACTTGGAACTTAGGATAGAGGTATGTATGTATGTATGTATTTTCACTTGGGAGAATTAAAAAAGGGATAATATACTCGAAATAGGAATATAAGGACTTATTACTATAAGAAAAAGGGAGGAAGAGATGTATACTATAACGCGAAAGAGAAAAGGGAAATGGGAAATGGGAAAAGAGAAAGGGAAGAGAAAAGAGAGAAAGAGAAAAGAGAGGGAATTAAATACTAACGAGAAAGATGGAATAAAGGATTAGTTGCGAGTTTGTTTGTCTATTTGTCTAAAGTACTAGTACTAGTAGGTAGAGAATTATAAATAGTACTTTAATATAAAACATCTTTCTTACAACGGTGCCATATTCCCATATTCATTTAAATAGTAAGCTAGTACCCTTTCAGTAACAAATTATAATTTATAGTCTAGTAATTTGTCGCGGTACTGTATTCACGTCTACACAATAAAAGAATAAAAGAATAAAAGAAAGAAAGAAAGAAAGAAACCGAAGAAGAGAACTAACACTACACTAAAGTAGTTAAGTAAGTTACGGGCCGGGTAGGCAATGTATCATATCATACAGTGCATCTCATCCCGCCGCCCGAGTACCTGCCAAACTTACCGTATGCACCCCGCAACCCGCAACATGCAACCTGCAAAGCGGGTTGTAGAGTACAGTACAGTAGTTCGCAGGTAGTTCGCAGGTACTAGTACTGTGCGGGAACGATTGATACACACTACTTGAGTATAGTATAGTATAATTAGACCATGCGACGGGACGGGGGCGAGGAGCTCTAGACCCCTACGTAAAGCTGCAAATTATTTCGCAGTAGAAGTACTGTACCTAGTTACCTTGCACTGGCCTACCTACTCGTGTGTATTGGGAATGAAGAGGAGGGTCTATATACACTAGCACCGGAACGCCACCACTCCAACTAGAAGTACTTCGACTAAACTAGGAGGAAATCAATCATCACTTCCACACACCACGGAAAGGAAAAGCTCGAGCTCGAGCTGGATGGAGCTGAAAGTCTAGACCTGCCTGCCTGCCTGCCCGCCCGCCATATCGACATCTCGTGACATCTAGCTAGACGCATAACCATCGAAATAACAATGGGCAGATCCAAGAGTCCGGAATTACTTCTATCACCTTTGTGATTATTGATGGTGAGCAGGGCGGAAAAGGGGGATGCGATGCGATGGGAGAATGTGGTACGATGCCATGCGATGGGTTAGATGGGGATGTGAGGGGGAGGGGAGCTTGGGTTGGTAAGCAGATGCATTAATAGGAATGGAATTTGAAACGAGGATGAGTAGGGATTTCTTTTTTTTAATTTTTGTTTTTTTTTGGAGATGGGGATGGGGATTATTATCTGGGTTTGTGATGTATAGATAGATAGATATTTTGGATATTTGGATTGGCGTTTTTGGGGGGGTAAGGGGAAGGGGGAAAGGGGGTTAGGGGAGGAAGTGGAGAGATACTGTAACTACTTTTATTTATTTATTTCTTTCTTTACAGAGGTACTGTATTACATGACTTCAGTTAATTAGGTCTTGATTTACATAGTGCGATGGCTGAAATCCAATCCAATCCAATCCAATCCCTCATTATTATCCTCACAACCCATTCTTACTATAAGAGCCTCAGGCCTCAACAACGAGGAACGAGTTGGCAGAGCCTCTTAGGCCAGCTAGCTAGTACTAGAGGCCATACAAGGCCTGTAAATCGTGTATAGTGGAGTAGTTAAGTGGGATAGCGGAGTAGCCAAGTATATACTAGTAAGAGCGACAACACCCGAAATCACAAAATAATAAAAACGCTAGTATCTTTACTAATAAAGCAAATATCGAAAAGATAATAGTACTATTAGAAAGCACTAGATTTGTAGATATAATTTCATACTAAGCCTATAATTTTTAGTTAACTTTTACCTACTATAATCGTAGAGTACCTAGGTAGCCAAGTGTAAGGTGGATACTAACCAGGTATATCTGACCAATAATCGTTAATTACCCTTTTAACCCGAAATCACAAAATAATAAAAACGCTAGTATCTTTACTAATAAAGCAAATATCGAAAAGATAATAGTACTATTAGAAATCCCTGGATTTGTAGATATAATTTCATACTAAGCCTATAATTTTTAGTTAACTTTTCCCTACTATAATCGTAGAGTACCTAGGTAGCCAAGTGTAAGGTGGATACTAACCAGGTATATCTGACCAATAATCGTTAATTACCCTTTTGGGTAGTTAACAGGGGGGGTACTAGCCAGCTGTCCTTAGGGGCTCTACGAGCAGCCGCAGGCGTCTGTGCTCGCGAGGCCCTCACAACCGCAACTACAACCAAAAACCTCCACATTATCAGCCCTCATTCTTCCAAAGTACCTACCCGTACCTAATCTCATACCAACCTCCCGAACACTTCATATCTATTCATATCTATGTCTATGTCTGTGTCCTCCCCTCCATGTCCTTCCCCCCTCTTCCCCCGTGCAGTATTGAAACATCCAAGTCCGATCGCCATTCCCGCGGATGAGGATAGACACCACATACCCACTACATACCCTGGCCAGCTCCAGCTCCAGCTCGGGCTAGAAAAAAACACGAGAAGATGGACAGGAGATCAGATGGGAAAGTTGGGGCGGTGGCCGGCAATAATGGGGAGGAAAGAAGAGGATAAGGAATGATGTTGGGCGATCGGGGGATAATATTATTGGGGTTTAATGGTGATATCGAAGTAGGTGATGACTCTGGTGAGGTGTTTTTTTTAGGGGGGAGGATTTTTTGACGGGAATTGGGGGTTGGTCACGTGGGTGATGGGATGGGACCTGGGAGGAGCTGGCGGGGGGGGGG